TTTACAGATTTAATTCCTTCAAGGTATATTAAAGCTGACATAAAAAAAAAAATTTTTGTCGATAAATAAGTTCAAATCTGATGCGATACGATAACGGTAGGCTATCGTAACATATTGTACACCCGTACCACTTTCTGTCTATATATTTTAGTATCGCTCTCTTGTTATTTTATGATATGGTATCATGGAATGAGAGCCAAACACGGTTAAATAGATAATTTCAGTCGCTAGGCCAAATGTAGTAAAAGTCTGAGGAAGACTGACTTTGTTAAGGCCTAAAGGTAAACTAATCATAATGAGCTCTTGCATGAAAATAAACCTAAAATTTCAAACTGATCGAAATTGTTTGAAGAAGATTAGGATAGAAATCATCTGACATAAAAATGATTTATCTTTAATAAATTACATGCATGAAGTTTGAACTATTTGGAATAAAATCAAAAATTTAATCTTCATATTTCATGACTCTCGTTCTTGTAAATATTTTTACTTGTCAGATTCATCAAATCAAACTTGACAGAATTTTGTTAAAAAATATCTCAACGCAAATCAGTTTATAATATTATAAGATTTGTATCTATGCTAAATTATATGCATGAAGTTTGAAACAAGTTGGATGAAGACCAAATATTTTATCTTATATTTTACAAATTGGCCCAGCGGTTCTCAAACTTTTAAGCCACGCCCCATTTTTAGAAATTGTAAATTCTTGCGTCCACCTCAAAAATAACTAACTCACAATAAGCTACAAATAGCAAATATTAAGGTAAAAGTATGTTTTATTAAAAAAAACGTTGAATATACGTGGATGGAAAGTAAATAATGAAAAAAAGAAAAGGTTTTAAAAATAAAAATATCCAAAATAATGTGTATAAGATCAAATCTAACAAATATTTTTATTTTTAATTAACTTCACGTCTTCTCGAAAAATTCTCTACGCCTATTTGTGGGGGGGAGGGGGCCTTTTCATTTCAAAATTTTTACAAATAAAATGTCATTAAAAATAATTTTTGTGATGTGGAATAAAAAAATATATCAGATTATAAGATTTTTAAAAGTAAATACCCATGCTGGCACACTTCTCATTTAAAGTATACCAAAATTTAAAATACAAGATTATTAGAATTAGGAAAATCCGCAATACGTGATTTTAAACATAAATATTTCAGATTAAAAGATTTTTGAAACTAAAAATCCACGCTGGCATACATCTCATTTGAAGTATACCAAAATTTAAGACATAATATTATTAGAGGATTGCGGACATCCGCAAATCCGCAATACGTTGTTTTAAACAAATATAAATGTCAATAGGAAACCGTGTTTGTCTAACATCGTATTTGTGTCAGAGATAACGCATTGAACCGTGAATGTGACCTTGAAATCTGACATTTATGGCGATTTTAAACTTCACGGATGTTGACAGCTCGCTTCTGATCTTTTTGACTGACAGTTATGCTTGTTTATTTCTGAAATTCAAGTTTTTTTTTATGCTTGAATGACGTGTCGATATGGGATTGGCTTATTAGTGTTTAAAATTGAAAGAGTAATGATGAAAAAATATTGCGACTATTCTAATTTTGAGGGGTTTCAAGGGTTTCTAATATCAAATGACATTTTTTTTTAGTTTGTAATGCCAAGGTAACTCTTCTATCTATAATTTTCCCATATTTAAGTGAGGACATATAACTTTGCTTTTAGCAAACCTATATAAAAATAGGCTTAAGATTGCCCTAATTGAATTTTTCTACTTGACCATGAAAAAGGTACGTGCTTTATTGGAAATCTGCTTCGTTCAAAACTGTAACGATATTTGCTTTTGACCGACGATGATGTTATCAAGAGGAAGTCTATAGAGAAAAGTCAGAAACTTTAAAACTGAATTATTTTAAGCTTCGACGTCTGACTCAAAGAAATTAAAGATTGAAGATTTTCAAAACTGACCCACTTTTGGGGGATCAGACGGAGAATGGGGTCACTTTCTCTTCAAATAAGGCTCTTATCAAGACGTCGCTATACGTATATAGATATTATTCTCCCACAGTACAGAGCGGTAGTTTATTCTTGAATACGTTATTCATCTATAAACTTAATAACTAAAAAACGGTTTTTTGATCTCTATCCCCTTTTGTAGAGTTAAACAAACTTTTTGGGGAATAAAAAACGGACTTTGTAACGGACCTAATTCCTCATTAAAACGTAAATCGACTCGAAAATTTAATAAAGATCGTTATGTTGTTTACTTTTCACGCATCTGGTTTTTCGCTGACACGCAGCTTTGATTTTTAAGTAGCCATAAGTCAGTAAGCTAACAGTATAATGTAGCCATTATTTATTTGATAAATTTGAAATAGGCTCGGAATGAAACAATTACATATAGTGAGAGACCGTGGAATTTAATATGACACGTTACCGCTTTTTTTTTGAGGGGGCGGGGGGGGGGGGGGGGGAGGCTAATGACTAAAGGTCTAATGACGAACTTTCAATAATGTTCTGTTATAACAGAACGTTACTGAAATATCTTCGTATAGTGGGTAGCAAGGCTCTTGAATAACATGTAATATTTTTGCATAATATAATTCCCTACAGCCAATTCTGCCCGTTAGTCGTTAGTTCCTTAAGAGTCTGTTTTTATTGTTGAGTATATACAACATCAGCATTCCGAAAGGTTTGATAATATAATTTTGCTTTAAATTCTAAATGTTTATAATTCATAAATCTAATCAACTCGTGCAAAGCGAGGCAGAATAAAAACCTAATTTGATTTCATATTTTCAAAACAGTGAAGTGGGGTTCCGCATCAGTGCCAAAGAATTTGATACCGGCACGGTTCATTTCATTTTGTCTAACAAATGATGCTGTCAAATGATCCATCACTCCCACATCGGATGCGGGTTTAAAAAAATGTCTTTATTTAAGCACGGCGATAAATTTTATTTAGCTGCCTTAAAGTTGTTATTAATGCAGCACAACAGCCCTCTATGGAGGAAGCCAATCAAATGGCAATCGGGACCATATGTCCAACCCTATTCCAAATATACTGTCCATATGGCTGCCCTATAGACCTCTGTAAAAGAGAACATTCAGATCGAGATTGAGACTATATAATAATGGTTAGATTTGGCTCTGTATACTTAGAATTGAAATCGAAAAATATTGAAAAAATCAAATAGGTGTACAGCTCAAATTACACTTACCAAGTTTTCAAAACGTGGTAAATAATACTCATTTCAAGGTACTCCCGTAGTTGGTACGGGCAACGATTAATGACTTACAACTGTGCATTCGCACTAAAGTATGACAGGTTGCGAGACCATCAAGTTAACGTAAGCCATAATTTTATTCCGATTTTCCTTATTTTAGTTCTCTTTTGAGTATACGGGGACTGTCTGTGTTAGCCAAGTGAATATATCCCCTACCCTTAGGTTTCATTCCCTTTACACAACTTGATGTAAAGTAGGCGAACAAAATTAGTTACCTCCATATTGGTACACATACTTCTGGAGCGCCCATTTGAACTGCCCGAAAGTTTCATTACTATCTCATTATTGTTTAGTTTTGCCCAATCGAAACTAATTCTAGCATATCAAATGTAAAGGGGAAAACGAATTGACGGCGCTCCAGAAGTGTGTGTACCAATATAGAGGTAACTAATTTTGTTCGCCTATTTTGCATCAAGTTGTGTAAAAAGACTGAAACCCATGGGCAGGGGGATATTCACTTGGTTAACACAGACAGTCCCCGAACTCGTGATGGAACTAAAATAAGGAAAATTGGAATTATGGCCTAATCCTAACATGATACACACACTACGAGAGTACCGAACACAGTCACAGTTGATTCCCTAATAATAGCAACTGCAAAATCTTAGTAAATTCATCAAATTTTTAACAGCACGTTGGTAAATTTCCAGTATTGTGGGTCGCAAATCCCTTGTGAGCTGAACGTAAATGTATCCAATGTCTCTCGGGGCCACAATACAATGCGGATGATCGGAAACGATTAATCTCCGTACATCTCACTATTTTAAATAGTATAAATGGTTAGAATAAAATTTAATATTTTTTTAATTTGCTAATCCCCTGCATCAAGGCTCCGTGAGCTATTCGTTCTCATATTTAAATACTGAATTGGATAATTTTGCAACTCTTAAAATAAGCAAAAACACATTAATAAAATTTGGCAACAGAAATTATTTTAAAAATGACATTATCTAAAAATTTGAACAGAATATTTTTATGACTCTATTGTGGGGCTGTAAATAATAGTCAATAGTCTATTCCAGGTTAGGCCATCGCGCCCACAAAAAGGATTGAAAATGATACTGTTGAGTTAAACGAACAATTCACATTGAAATATATACGTTTGAATTCTTATCCTAAATATTTTAGCAAACGCGCTGCTATAATTTCAAATCCCATGAGTTTAAATGTGGCAACGGTAATTTATCTTGTGTTGTGGTTTTAGGAGTTTGAAAACGATACTGCTACAATGGTATCAAATTAACGCGGTATGAAACTGCGTAGTCGGAACGTGTGAGTTTTAAACGAGTCTCTGAATCGGAACTGGTTTTAAAAAGTAGTAAAGTAGTTACATTGGATTGGATTGGATTGGACTTTACATATTTATCCCGGGGGAGAGGAAAGCCGATAAGACGGCTTATCCATATGGCGAACCACGGCCTCTCGTCCGGTTACATCTCGTTGGAACAGGTGATTTTATGTTAAAAAGTCGGTTCCAAGACAGTTTTGGTGTTATTGAATTTGGCACCAATTAATTTTAAGGCAATGTCCCCGTATCGGGCAATTTTATATATAATCGTTGGATGTAATTACGTAATTATAAAAATAAATATCGGCCTGTCCCCCAAATCTTGGGCTGGCTACGCTGTTGGATCCATACCATGAGTCGCTAATTAAATGGATAGAATATATCAGTTTAAAAAATAGCTCACGATATAGTAACACCATAAACGTGAAATTGTGAGCAATGTTACTTACTTTTCAGCCATTATAGATTTGGCTTCGGGTAACGAACATTTTACATTCTTCATTTCACCAGTAGAAGCGCTGCATGTGAAGGTATTTTGCCGGCCATATTCTGCGGACACAATCTGAAATATTGATAAAATATATTATTGTTAAATGTGTGTATTACAAAAATAATTAATGGGTAGATATTTTTAATACTACACGCAAATACAAAAAATGATTTTTCCTCAGAAACTGTAAAATTTCTTCACTGGATGTGGACATGCAGTAGACCATAGTACATGAATAACATAATTTCTTTCCACGAAATAGTAAACTTATTTTTGACATTTCATTCGATCATAGTCTAACTTCTTCAGATAAAAAAGGATATGGCTTAATCATAGCGAATAATAGTTATATATGGATTTATGTTGATTCATTATACGCCATTAAATGCCGTTTGACACAAGACTTGACACAAGGTATATGGAGACCCAAAAAAAAGAACCAAGGTGAAGAAAATATTAGGAAAATATTTTAAAGATCATTTTTGTGAAAAGCGTCCTAGAATATTGATTCAGATTTTTATTTTTATCATGCAAGAATCAATGCACGGAAAAGTGGCAAAAGTGTATAACAGCATTAAAAAAAATAAATGCAAATCAAAACATAAGAAATAACGTTGTAGGGATCGCGAAGGTCTGTGGCAGTCTTCGGTTATTGAAATTTTTTGGGGACAATCACACCCAAAAACAAAAAGTTCAAAACAGAATCTAGGTTATTCGAATATATTATAGAGAAAACATAACTTTTATGCAAATCGTCCTTGATTACTGACATTAACAGAAGTTTGAGTGGTAAATACATTTTTAATTTTTATAGTTGAGTAATTGAGAAATTTTGGGTTTCTACTTCATATATTGGTAACAAAGATATGCTGAGTAAACATCTTTTCGTCTAACCACAAACTCTTTGCACATCGACCTATGCTTTCAAGCGACGTTGCAAATCCCAGCAGAACCGCAAACAACTCATTATATACATTAACAGCTTTAAGTATTTGCCCGAACCCGCGTACATCCTATTTAAAGATTTTTGAGCTGTAAGTATTTTTCTAGAAACGCATAATTGATGAATAGGGTTTGAATTGAAAAAAGATGCTTTTTTATCGCTATTTATTTAGAGCCTTGCTCTGAGCTAATGTGAAATTTTTTATTCATTTAAACACAAATATTTGAAATTACGTGATTTTCATCAAAACCTAAAATTATTGAATTGGGTTTTAAATAGTTAACAAAAAAATACTTTTACGGATATCTGTTTTTTTTTGAGTCTTTTTCTGAGTAAATGGGTGAAAGCGTTTTCATAACTGGCAGTTTTGTTTAGTCTTTCTTTTTACATATTATTATCTTCTCTTGTAAAGACTTGTTCTGAGCGATAATGTGAAAGTGTGTGCTTTCCAAACGCGTGACATTTTTATTTAAAAATTAGCAATTACTCGTCAAGTATAGGTGGTGATCTATTCAGAGGCAATTTTTGAGTGAAATGTGACGCAAACAATGATTCTTCACATTGTCTAGCCTTGCTTCTAGTGTGGATGTCCAAGCCTTAATGAGCTAATTAATTGGGTAAAGATGGATTCTTCTTTCAAATAAATACAAATTCTGACGAGTTTCCAGTTATTGGTAATATATGACGCAATCAATGACGTAATATTCTCACCTGAATGACGTCATGTCCAGGACATCTTAGTGATATTGGATACTTCTCGCAAGCCATTTCGTTCCTCATTGGGAATCCTCCAAATGCCCAGTCTGTGTTTGCTGTAAAAGAAAATAGGGTTTTAAAAAAGTACTTTAAAAATCAGTGTCATCTTTACGATACTTATTTCTGAAAGTAAGTTAGAACACTACAGGAAAAACAATTAAATTTAGCATTGTTCGTATGTGTCTGCATTTGGTTACAAAGGTTCTCTAAGTTACTCTCTAAGGTAAGTATGAATACATTAAACGGCAGTTCAAACATTTTGTTCATTACATGCAGGCCACATACCGAAGCTAAGAAAAATAGAATATATTAAGCATCAGTGATATATTGAATAAGAATACGCTTCTTTATGTGCCCAATTTGGTCACATACTGCTTGAATACATTAAGCGTAAGATAACAAATTCTCGTCATTACATGAATACAGGACTCACTTGGCCAAATCTTTTCTCAAAAACAGAGTGTGAGACATCTCATGAAAAAATCATAAAAACTTATTTTTTACGACGTTTAAAATTATAAGTTTAACAAATTGTCTCTTTAATAGAGGTATATTATTTGTGATAAATATATCATTTTATGATCTCATAACAAGTCATAAATAATTACATTCTTTCGTCATCTTGACGTCAAAAATAATGGTTTTATAAAATGACTCTTCAAATATATTTACGCATTTGAATACAAAAATAGTCAGAAGACTCATATCTCGAAATAAATCATAAATTCTAAGTGATCTAAAAATCTAGCTAAATACTAACACAAATATTTTTCTGCAAGACTAACTACTTATCATTACTCTATGCCAGGGGTCGGCAACCTTTTGTCGCTCGCGGGCCAAAATAGGGGTTGCAAGTCATTGGCGGGCCGTACATATTTTAGTTGAGTCGAAGCGAAGTAAAAATACAAATCTTAAATTAAATAGTAACAAAATAGTCACTCTAGATACGGTGACTACTAGACAGATAAAACATCGTAAAAAAAGAATAAATAAAGTGAAGGCCTTAATTAGTAATAATAAACAAAGAAACAGAGTATTCACACTAATATATTTTAGAAACGTCAAGTAGCCGGAGGACGTCAGAGAAATCCAGAGGCGCTCGATAATGCAAAAGAGAGACTCCAAGCACCTCCGAGGCGAGGTAAGCCTCTCCCCCTATATCGAGTTTCTCGCCCCATGTCAAAAACAACTAACAACAATAAGCTACCATAACAGATAGAAACTAGAACGTATGTTTTATTCGAAAAACTCGTTGAAAATACGTTGATGGAACGTAAATATCCAAAATAAAGAAATGTAAATATCCAAAATAGCGCGTGGAAAATTAAATCTGTAGGATTGTTAACAATTTTTTGAGGGGGCTTGTAGCTCATTAAAAAATTTAAGGTTAGATTTGGTCCTGACCGACCTATTTTGGATATAGATGTGAAACTCGAATTTTTACATAATTTTTTGAAATTCGGATCAATGGCAAAATTTATATATTAGCGCATTGAATTTTTATCCCAACAAAATTTCGTCATATCTCTTTGAAAAAACATACTTTTTATCTTCCAAGACCTGCTTCATTATCAGGTAGATTAGGATCACAACGTACATTGGTAAATTGATGACTCCCGCATTTAATTTTCTCATAAAAAACACCGTCATTTCTATTTAGAAAAACACAATTTATATCATTCAAAACATTATTAAATTTAGTTGGGAGAATTAATAACATGATACATTTATGTGTGTAAAAACAGGGCAATATTGTAAAATCAACGCCTAAAGGCATTATACTATTCATGTGATATCCACAATCTTATTTATTATATTTTTTTTAAATGTATGTGGGCTGAATTTTGGAAGCGTTTCTAACTACGACAAATTGCTATGTCGATACAGAAAAACTTTTACGTTAGAAGGACAAACGGGCCCTCATTTGATATGCCCCCGATTCCGGGGTGTACACGACTTGTTATCCGGTCCATTTCGTGTATAAGCATGAGTACTCAAGTTAATGTGCAATAGTAGATTAAAAACCCCCAGCAATTTTGAATTAGTCCAGCAATCCCCTTATATCTAATACTAGTTTAAATCTACAGATGTCGGATCGGTGTGGTGTACAAAACTTTGAGTGAAGGTGCGAAAGGTATACAATTTCAAAACAAAATGCATGCGAGTACTCTCAATAGTAGACCTCTGAGTCCCACTTTGGCTATATAGACCGCCGCTTGATAGTACATCAAAGAGTATATTATTAATTTGTCTCGGCCGTTTATTATCAATATTTGTTCTGTCGTCTCGTCTTGTGATGTAAGATATTAAAGTACTTCATCTTTTCTTTTAATTTATTACCCTAGGTAAAGGATGGTCTTACAAAATAAGGCTTACAGCTAATGAAGCCTTGACTGCTTTGCTGAAGTTTTTAATCCGAAGTTTGAAGAGTTTCTGGTTGTAGTATTGCGAATTAACTTTTTACAGACTCTAAATTGCATTATATTATTAGCCGGGGATTTAAAGTTGTTTGTATGTTTTGACTCTAGTGGCTAAGTGGTTGACTGCAACGTCCCAATATCATCACAATGCTATTTACCTATATAGTTGTGAGATTACAATACGTAATTTGATGTAAGAGTGGATATACGACCCCAACTGTGTTTTGAATAGCCTCCTCCGTAAAATTCTTAAACGAGCTGCCTGTTTGACACCAGTTAGATACTTAGGGCAGCTGAGTACACTCCAATTTATATTTTAATCTTTAGCTGAGAGCTCTATATTTTGAATTAAGCAAACATGAAGCAACTAACATTCTATTCATTTTAAGTTGAATGTAAAGTTATAATAACTTTTGCGAAAATTAAAAAAAAAAACTCTTTTTTCGAAGACAATTTTGTGAGTAAACAGAAAGCAGAAAAACGACACATAAAATAAGACGTAATTGAAAACAAAAATCTTTTTATAAATAAATCAATTTGGGCGCTCTAGACATAAAACGGCGAATCCATTAGAGAACTGTTCAAACATAGAGACAATCTGATTCATATCTCAATATGAAAATTCAAGTGAATCAATTTGAGCGTTCGTGCACAAAAGTTATGCAAAGACAATGTGATCCATTTGAAAACGAAGATGAATGAACTTTTTTTTGTCACTGCTAGGGCTCAGAAAAAGGACATAACATCGGACTTTTTTGTATTAATTTATCAACTCGTGCCCTGTAGACACAAAAGCGAATCCATTAGACAAATTGGCAAACATATGGACAATGTAATTCTTATTCCTAAATCGCGTTTATCAGTAATATTCATCGATCCGATCTAGGAATGAATAAACATCAGATTCACGTATTAGCTCTTATTGGGATTTCCGCTAGAAAAGCATTGGCAAATATAACGCTATTCAATTGTAAGGATTTGAATGACCAACTGAATACATTTAAATTTTACATTAGTCACAAACAGAATTACATTGCGAATATATAGCGCAAACATCGCTAGAAAAACGATTAAATTTCCCGGAAATCAAATACTTCACCATCCCATACATGATTTGAATAACATATTTCAGCGGTTAGCAAATGGTGCGACGAGTAGCTAAGTGAACCACAAAAATTAACTTCAAAGGCATGAAGTACACATTACCGATCACAAAATTGAGTTTAATTCAAAAGCCGTATTTTTGTGTAAGTAGGCCGTGAGTTGTTTTCCCGGAGCTCCAGAAGTATGTGCACCAAGATGGTGCACAACCTGAACATAGTATGTGTACTAGGTTAGGGTTCAGGTTGTGCGCCATCTTGGTGCACATACTTCGGGAGCGCCGTTCAATCTGATAATTTGGCGTCACAGTAACAAAAAGTTTGGGAACCGCTGAACTACTTCATAGAGCTTGGCTTCCATATAAATTATAGACAGCATGTAGAACTGCCATACGGAAGAACGGTTGATTTTGTTGGCAAAACCCGTTTAATCTCACGTCAATAGAGAAAAGGGGGACGTTTCTATATATTTCGTTTCTTGAATATCGCTTTGATTAGACGGCGGCAATTTTTATTTGAAATAAAAAAATACGTAATCGCTATTAATAGAGTTTGGCTTACAGTGTGTTTAAATTTAATATTAATGTGGGAAATTTTAATTCTTTTCGTGGACGACTGTCTTAATTTTGAGCAAATAATAATACGTAATCCCTATAAAATATATTGTTTGTCAGAAAATGTATATTAGATATTTGGGTGTTGCAAATATCAATTCATACCTAAAAGTATAAAAAGTCAATTGAGGTAAAAGAAAATGACAAAAACTAGAACGCCGTTTTCCCTGATAATTTGACGCCACAGGAACAAAAAGTTTGGGAACCGCTGAAATACTTCATAGAGCTTGGTTGTCATATAAATTATAGACAGTATGTTAGGAATAAGGGTGGTTCAACCACCATTTGGCATCACGTTGAGGGATATTGGAACTACCGTACAATAGAAAGGTTGATTTTGTTGGCAAAACCCGTTTAACATCACGTCAATAAAGAAAATGGGACGTTTCTTTAGATTTCGTTTCTTGAATATCGCTTAGAATATACGGCGGCTATTTTCATTTGAAATAAAAAAATATGTAATTACTATTAATAGAGTTCGGTTTACAGTGTGTTTAAATTTATTAGTAATGTGGGAAATCCTAATTCTTTTCGTGGACGACTGTCTTAATTTTGAGCAAATAATAATACGTAATCCCTATAAAATATATTGTTTATCAGAAAATGTATATTAGATATTTGGGTGTTGCAAATATCAATTTATACCTAAAAGTATAAAAAGTCAATTAAGGTAAAAGAAAATGACAAAAAGCGCGTAGGAAAAATCGGATATTTCGTCAGAACTCATTTCTATATAAAAAAAGAGAAGCATGTTCGGACAATTGATATCATAAACCTCTTAATTAGACGTTCACGCTAAAACTATAGCACTAAAACCCAGAATGGTCGCCAACAATAGAATTATGTCATTTCTAAAACATAATTTTTACAAGGAAATGGACATTTTCTACCTTTTGTGTCGCATAAACACATTTACATCGAC